ATCATCATCATCATCATCATCATCATCATCATCATCATCATCATCATCATCATTTTCGGCATCATCGTCATCATCATCATCATCATCATCATCATGTTTATACTCTAGCAATAATTGCGATGGGTTTTTTCCTCTCTCATCAGGAAAACGGATATGTTGCTGCGCACACGTCAAAGCCAGAGGAAACAGATACGGATGCTAAGAGGAAGAGAGACAGAGCGAAAGAGAGAGAGAGAGAGAGAAAAAGAGAAAAAGAGTCAGATGGCAACCGTGTTCTCGTAAAGGCTCTGAAGTTTCCCAATTCCATTTCTCCTGGTGTGGACAGACAGAAACAGTTGCCCAGTTACTATCGCCTGGCGTCTCCATCTCAGGTTCAAGACTTTTGGCTTTATGAGAACAGAGTAATCCGGCACCTGCCATCAAAGTACTTAATATAGAAGTCGACAATAGAAAGGTTCAGTACAGGACTTAAGTAGTTTTACTATCATAAATCAAGGAATGACGTTCTGTTGTTAAGCAAGAATAGCAAAAATGACGTGCTTGCTTCAAGGAACGGATTAAGACAGCAGTGATTGAGCTACGATCAGTCCTTTGTCAAAGATAATTATTATGAGATTATATCATATGAAGTCTTCGCCGCTCTTTTCACAACCCTGTTTCATCAGTGAGCTGATTTGTTAGTTTGAATCTCCGAATTTTCAACACATTGTTCCCTTTTCTCTGTTGTCTATCAAGCCATGTGTGTGGCATTTTCTACTTTTCCGACTGTCTTCTCCATGTCCTTCTCTTGTCTTCTTTTCCTCCTCCTGTCTTCTTTTCCTCCTCCTGTCTTCTTTTCCTCCTCCTGTCTCCTCCTTGTCCTTGCTTTTTCTCCCGTTACGCATTCTCTGTGCATGTTACTCGCGATCTCTCAAGTTCTTTACCTCAATATTCTGTCAGCTGCTCTCGGACATTCTCTATTCCTGTTCTGTCTCATTGTTTGTTTTTTTCATAAGTATCATCATTTCTTCCTGTCTGTTGGTGTTGCGTGTGACTTAGTGCATGGAACGGCCGTTTGGTCTTTCCTCCCCCCCCGAACTCCCCCACCACAAGTTTTGACAATAGGAACATTTATGGACCTAACAACGCGTTTACGGCGTATCGTTGTGCGTGGCACAGCCTTTCCTTGACTATTCTTTACCTACGGGGGCAGCGCTTTTATGTTGTGGAGTGTGTTCACCTCCTAACAAAAGAATAGTTACTGATTTGGCTTGTAAATTCATGGATATTACTTACCCTTCATTGCGCCCGATCAGTGACACTGATTTCCCCTCACCAATATCGAGCTTGCGGCAAGCTAACCCATATCTGACTGTAAAGGGGGAGGGGGGAATCAATCCTCTGCTTTTTCCTTTGGTTCACATTTGTTTATTGGATTTCAAAACACACATCCCTCTTTTCTTTTTAAACAAAAGATCAATCAAAACGAAAACTGTCGCCAGAGCTATTTATTTCTTTCTGTAGCACTCATTGGCCTATCCCAGAATACTTCTCGAAGGATGGCGCAGGAAAGACTTTCAGAATTTTTTTTCCTTCTCATACCGCAACTAAAGATGAATTAATTATTGGGAGAAAAAAGCCTGGGGCCTCTTATTCACAGAGTGTTTTGTCATAGTCTTGTGTCCGTGTTTGTCTCAGGTCATTGGTTGTATTGCATTTCTCACCTCATGCAGAATCTACATATCAACTAACAATACTGTCACAGATTTCATTCTCAGCGTACTTCTCGATTCTTTTTTGCTGAGATCATTTTTGTCTGTCTGAGGTCCAGATTCTTCATCCTCCATGCCTCATCAAACCAATGATATCTTGTAACTTACGTTGGAACCAAATATTTATTGTATTCTTCAGAATGTGTTGTTCGATTCTTCTGTAGTACCGTATTTTCTTCAGGGAGAGTGGGGAATCGTCTCGTTCATTTTAATGCTGTTGAACGAAGCCAGGTTTGTGAGGTACAAAATGAACTCTTCTTTCACGAATCGCGTGGATAATAAAAATACATTGAATTCTTACCACCCCCATAGACTTGAAATATAACATCCTAGATCGGGAACTGTCGTGGACGTCTCTCTTTGCTCTCTATGAAAACTTCGCCTCGCCGGTGTGCCAACATGTGCGCGCAGATGAAGCCAAGACACATTAAGTCTTAAGGTGTCTTGGGATGAAGGGCAGAACACCAGCTTGGCTAAATTCAAGTGCGCACCAAACCTTTCCCTCCGTGCCCTTTATTTATTGGTTACAACTTGAGTTAAATGGTGCGAACCATGGTGAAACGGAATAATGACGTCAAAGTGCACAGTCGATGGGGTTATATTACATGTCTATGGCCACGCCCACCTACCTAATGAGCATCTGGTTTTCGAAGACAAGAAGTAAAGATTGTGAACTAACCAACCAAATCGTTGTCGTTTTTTGCTTATATTTTGTGTGTGTGTGTGTGTGTGTGTGTGTGTGTGTGTGTGTGTGTGTGTGTGT